ACTTAATAAATAAAATTAAGTTACTAATATTGTGTATCATTAATAAATATTAGTAAGTAATTAAAAATAATTTGAAGCTATTATAGCTTATTAGTTGTAGATTAGAAGAAACGATAATAGTTAAACAATTATTTCGTAAATTCGCTTTAATGATTTAACAAGGAGATAAATATGTCAGTGAACGAAGCCCGTCTCGACCTTGACTTTGACATGTATTATCAAAATGACTCTGATATGAGTGATCTACAACAGATATTCGCTCATTATTCGTTAAAAGTTATTAACAAAATAAGTTTAAAAAATAGTGTCTTATTTTTGCCATACACACAATATTAGAGAAATTATCCTCCCTTGCGTAAGTAATGGCTTTCCACGCGAAGCGAGGTTCATTCTACCCATAGAACTTATAGTAATGGAAGCGAAATAACCTATCCAAGCAATGAGTGAAAGGTGAGCAACATCTGAGAGACAGAAGATGTATTTCTGTATATATTTCTGTTCTGCTCAGTAACTTTTCTTTTTCCTGCGTATATGCCAAAAGAGGATAGAAGAGGATAAAAAGATATTTCCTTTAGATGTTGCTCGCAACTCGATGTCCGTATTCCTCTTCCATCACTATAAGTTCTATGACTACCTCCCTCCCCCTTCCTCTGCTGAGGCGACTGTTCGATTTTCTACGCGAAGCAAGATCAACCCGCATGAAAAGTTATTACGCCTTTAGGCAAGGGGGATGAAGTGGACCTCATTTCCCGTGAAAAATCGTAAGATATATTTTAAAACAGAAAATTTTTATTTTGTATAGTAGAAAAAGATATTTTTCAAACTTTTTTTGTTAATAAGTTTGTTTTTAACGCATAACGAGTGATGATTAAAATCTGTTGGAGATCACTCAAGGTCGTGACGTTGACAAATATGTCAAGATCAAGATTATCGGAGCGGACGTCCATTGGCCTCCATCGGGCATCTTTACCAATAAGAAAATTAGAGATTTCAGAAAATGTGATAAAAAATACATTTCTAAATATTTCTAGGGTGTCACTCTCAGACGATGGCAACAACCAGTCCGGAGGAAAGATTCTGTAGCGAGGATGACGCTGTCAGGTCTTCATTACATCGTAGAGGTAAGTTATTGTCCCATTTTCAACTTCTCAGTCTTAACTGTGACGAAATTTGCTTTAATAGTTTTCTACTTTTACGAAACATTATAAATTCCTGTTTTGTTAAATTATTTATTATAACGCTTTGTGAAATTGTTATTTGTCCAATTAATTGTTGTGCTAATTAAGAAATACAGAAATCTATTAATTAATTCTTAAATTATTTGTTAAACATTATTATATTGAACTTTTAATTAAGTATTGTTTACTTGAAAAAGTTAACGCATAGTGTATTTAGGACCTAAAATATTAAAATGCGATTAATTCGATCAGCCTTCTCTTGTACAATTTTCTCTTTGTGCAACGTCAAGACTGTCAAAAATATTAGGTGTTGGAATTAATTCGTAGCGTTTTACAAGTGATGGGAAGTACTTTCATTAATGTATTTTTTAATGCTCATGTGAAATAAATAACATTCTTTCATTAAAAACGCTACGAATTAATTCCAACACCTAATAACTGTCAATAAAAAGATACAAAATAAACGTATAATAAACATATGTATGTATATATGTATATACATATATATATATATATATATTATTACACACACATATATATATATATATATATACATACAGTTATACATATAAGTAGGTAATAATATACATAAGTTCATGGATGAATTTATTAGGATCATGGGTTGAGTGCAGTCGCGCGACAAAATTAGCCGGCAGGGTGTAAACTGCCTTCGTTGAATTACATTACATTAACCCTAAAGTTTAGATTAGCCAAAGTAGAGTAATATTCCAGTCATAAAAGTGGAGCGACCCGCACGCCTGTCGCTCCATTACGTAACTTCGGTTTCAGTTTACGCCAGAAGGGCTTATTTCCGCTCGCGCCAACTTTGCGCTCTCCCCCTTCCCCTCTTCTAAACTAAAACGAAATTTCATTTTCGAATTATCCAGGTGTTTCACCACTCGCGATTATTTTACAAATATTATGCTATATTATAATTGCTTACGAAAAAAAGTAGATAAATATTCCTGTAAATTTAATATATTTATATTCAATTTTTTTTTATGTAATGTTATGTATTTTCGTTACATAAGAAGCATAATGATAAAATAATTCATAATATTTATGTTAATATTGTTAAGTCGCGACAGTTAAGGGGGAGGACTTGCAATTGCAAAATTAGTATCTCCGATTTTTGTATTTTTTCTTATCTAGTTTCTTATCTAGTTTAATATATTTCATCATATGTTTGTTCTGTTTCTCTCAATTACACAGTTACATTTGGATTAATTTAAATTTCTTCTAAATTTTCTGTTTGATTTTTAATTATGAAAAATTAATTTTTGCAATTTTAGTTACTCAGTTTTTGATAAAATTATAACTTTTTAAAAGCGAAAAGTTAAATGATAGAGCCCAGTAAAAAGAATTTTTAAAATCTATAAAAATCAGTTCAGTCTGTCAAGACCCAGGAAAAAATGTTTCATATATAATTATACATATATAATTATATAAAAAATTGACATATTTTATATACAATTATATATACTTATATATAAAATATGTCCATTTATATAACATTTTTTTCTCTAGGAAAAAAAAACCTAAAAATAAAAAAATAGTTTTATAGACAACCGTTTCACAGATTTTAATAACAGCATAATCTCACATTCTTTACAGTAATTTATACTCTTTTCCTTTATTTATTTCCAATTTAAGCAAATACGGAGCTACAAATATAAGCTGCACAACTACGTGACAAATTAAATAAAAGTTTAAAAGAATTTTTTTTGTTATTTGTTGTCATCCAACTATTCAGCTAAATTACGAGTTCAATCTCTTTCAGGCATTTAGACATAATTGTAATAAGTGATTTTTCATACTTGCCTGAGTCGATCAGAATTTTTTTGTACATATATTCATATCGCTGTCGAACTTTTGTAATTTTTTGTCTTCTTTCTGTATCTTTTCCTTATTGATTTCTCGCTTTTAAAATTTTATATATTTTTTTATTTATATATTTTGATTTATAAATGTTTAAATAAACTCGCTTCATACAGGTTTACATAAAATTTTTTTTATGTTGAATCGGAATTAAGTTCTTCGTGTACGTTTTTGAATACTTTAAAATGGATCTCTAAATTTATGTTACGCTATTAAAAATATTATAGTAATTTATAACATTCTTAAGAACGTAATTAAATTTTTGTAAGCAAAGTTTTTTAATTTCTGCTTTAATAAATTCCAAGGAATCGTTCGATGAATTGGCTCCTGTTTTTAATTTTAATTCGTAATATTTGTATGTTTGTATTACTGTTCAGCATTTGATGATGAAGATATTCTTTGATATTTTTGTAAAAAAAAGCGCTGGTAAAATTTGATGGGCGCGTGAAGCATCCTGAATCACTTTAATTTCTGCTTATTATATGTTATTAATACCAAAGTATCACGACAGTATTTTTTTTCCTCTTTATAAAATACATATAAGAATTTATGATCAATATTCACGGTCGATTCTTGTATTAAAAATCATCTTAAGTAGAATCTTCAGATATTATAAGTTAATTGCAAAGTCATATTATACATCAAATTTTGAAAGGATTGGTTTTTTAAGATCACATGAAAATTATCGCTATTTTTAAACGAAATTGTGATATTTTTATGTGATAATTTTTTAATTAATATGATTCCTTTAGTTATCTTGCGTATAAAAGTATTAAAAGCAGAGTTACCAATAAATTAATACTTTCTTCTAGCATATTTTGACATGAAATATAAAATATTTTATGTATAAAAATTATTGGAGGTTTCCGAGCTATGTGTGCTTTTATGTATAGACTAATCAGAAGAATTATATTACATAATAGAAACCATAATTTTATTTCTGGCAAAGATTTCCATATGACCTTGAAATTTTTTGGAAAATTAATTTTATCACTATTTGTCATTCTTTAAATCATATACGTTTTATTTATTGTAAAACATATTTTACACGAATATTAAGATTAGAAATAGGACCGTTTATATAATTAATTAAATACGAGAAGTTTCAATAAAATATTGGATTAATACATCCACATGTATTTTAAATAAAAGTTGCTTATTACATAACTTTGAGCATATTTAATTGATTTATTCAAACGATCTTGTTTCTAATATTGTTTTAATATTATATGCATTCTGCCTTTCAACTCTATACATATTGATTATTGCGAAGAATATTGCTAAAGTCTCGGTGATTGAACGGTGAGGCCCATACAGGAGATCCGAGTTTAAATTTCGGACAAGTTAATATTTTTCATAATAAGTTCTTTACAAGATTTATGATACCAGTAGGATTAAATTAAATTTTTAAAGTATTATTAATATTGCGGATGAGTTGTGTGAAAAATAATCGGTACGCAATCATATTTTTGAGACAAATTTATTTAAAATATATATAGATTAGTCCAGCATATTTTACGAAATTGTTTTGTTTTTGAGATATTTTTATTTATTTTTTTTTATTTAGGATATCCTATATGTTTTTTTACGAACGTTATATAACTTAATTGTTTTTGAAATCCTGACGTGATACATAAATTTAGAGATCAAATTTATTTTTAACATTAAAATATATTATCTACATGAAATATCAATTTCGTTTTCAATATAAAAACAATTTTTTTGTAGACTTGTGTTATTAATCTAGCGATTATATTCTCTCTTCAATTCGGTACGAGTGGAAGTGCTTTATAACCACAAGGTATATACAAAAACTATTTTATACAATTTAAAACACGCAAAAAGCAATCTAAAAAATAATAAATTGATATTTTGTCTATAAAAAAATTTCCCTTAAGGGGCTTTTTATTACACAAAAAAGAATATTTTTTTTATTAAAAAAAGTTTTTTTTAACTACGCAGTAAATTAATTTCATGTTACATACGTTTATTCTATATATCTTGAACAATATATAATATAAAATAAAATTGTTAAAAAATATTAATTTGTTTAAAAGATATACATAAAATAATATTTATAAATTACATATATTGTTGAAAATAATTTCTCCACGATAATAAGTACGATATTTATGTATTTTGATATTTATACGAACAAAATTCTAAAATATATATCCGTTCTTAAAATTAATTGTTAAATAAAAATGTTTTATAATTGATGAATGAAATAGATAAAAAAAATACTTTATTGCAAAACTAACATGAAACGATAACAATAAATCGAATCGTGTTCTCATATCATTTTCCGCCGACACTTGAACAATGCATTGCCAATTATCTCGAAATATATTCGAATTTATACGTTTTCGATTTTTCGATTGGTTATTTGAATTCATCAAGCAGCATCTGCATACGCACGCGTTGCACGATGTATTCTTCCCACTATAGCGGACAGTTGGTCGGCCATATTTCAAAACTTACCACTTAACTTGAACTAGTCGGACAACGACTGGAGCATGTATCACAGGAAAACGTGTGCCTTCCTTTCGTATACATGATGACCCAGTAAAAAACTTCACGCGCGACCTAGAAAGCATTGTCGCGGTCGAAGTCAATTTTAAGTCGAGCGAAAAATTCACGGTCGCTTGTAATCATTTTTATACATTAAGACACGCCATTCCGAGCATTTTAAGCTTTCCTCGCGAATTATTTTGATTTTTCAGCATCAATGAAAATATTCGTTTCGCAGTCCTAATTTGATGAACAATTTGTGTGTGTGTGTGTGTGTGTGTGTGTGTATGTGTGTGCGCGCGCAATTATTGAAATCATTATATCATTAGTAATTAACAACTAATATAACTAATAACAATAACACAGGCCCACAAAAAAGTATCCTGTGCTGAGGTGGAAACCCAGCTATTCTCATGTACTTTGAGTCGCTGAATGGGGTCTCCATCCCAGCACAAGGTATCTTTTTTTGTGTAATTAATGTAACTTAAGGGAATGCTGGAGTAACCAAATTATCGACATTGCAGATCAATAAAAATCCCTGAATTTACTGAACG